GAGAAAAGTAGGTCGCGGACAATCTAAATCCATCCCTCCCAAAGCTGCGCTTGGGTCACCCTCCCCGCTGTGCACGGCTTGTCGGTTACTCCGACCACATCGTCACTTAGAGGGCCAGTGGATGAGAAGTGTCTCCAGGCACTCTTCGCCTGCTTAGGCTACCACACCGCATCGCGAAGCCTGTTACTCTATATTTGACCTTCTGAGCGGGCCAGAGCTCTCTATCCGGCAACGCTAACAGGCCACAACTCTCTATCCGGCAACGCTAACAGGCCACAAAGCCCCTTAAATTTTCGTACAGCGCAGCGTACTCGCCTTCCTCACCCCTCCCGCCCGCTCAGTGTGGGATTGTCGTAGCCGAATTGTCGTAGCCGCACTGTAAAAAGCTTACGAACTAAATACTTTGCAACGTTACGAACAATTTTCGTTCTTTGTATTGCAAAGAAATTGTTCGTATTGCAAAGCGATTGTTTGTAAGGCTAAACGGGTCTTACGAACAATCGGATTGCATTACGAACTATTTGTTCGTAAGCTTACGATCAATTAGTTCGTAATACAACGCTTCAAAATCCTTCGTTAGCTACGAACGTTTTGGTTTGCATTACGAACCTATGGTTCGTAAGCAATTTACAGTGCGAACTTCTGTGTCTTTTAGCAGAGTCCGCCTCAGTCAGACCACCGGTAGGGGGCGGTACCTCAAAACCTATCCCAAAATCTTTACCATCAGGTGTTTTCCATGGCACTAAGAACTTCCGCTTCACTCCTTGAAAAGTAAGAACATACAAATAGAACTAGTACTTGCATTTCATTTTCGAAATAAGCCGCGGGAACATTTATTAGCGCAACGCTGACAGTAACAAGTTCTCTCTTTAAAAAAATCCACTAATAATTGACACTACAACTAACAATCACATTAAAAAGCTTATGTACATTGGTTATTAAGGTTACTATATATTTAAATAAGAAAATTTCTGCCGTGGCCCCAGCACGGCGTGACCCACACCGTGGGTCATGCGAAGTTTACCAAAAGGCCGAATACTGCGTAAGTGCGATCAGGTGGTGTAATTTTTATTTTTCCAAAATAATTAGGGCGCCCCCGAAAGCCTTCGGCTTCTGGGACATTTTTCTTTTTTTCGGCCCCGTACTCAACGTGTTAAGAAAAACAAAAACGGATACAGGGAGTGGTGGTTGGGGTGGGGCAGCGAAGGAGCGGTGGGTTTCTTTTAACACTTGTTGGTGTGCATCAAACCGCACTAAATAATAAGAAAAGGACAATCCACAACAGGGCAAGCCCCTCCGGACAATCTTTCCGTGCGGAATTTCTATTTCTCAGCGAGAAGCTTGCTGGACAGGCTACAAACCATGCCGATACAAAGATGGACAGCAACTGATAACAGTCAGTAGGGCAAACATAATGAGCAAAACCCTTATGTTCTTCCGACAGAAAGACCCACAGTAAGAACATAATATTCTGCAGTTAAAGGTCTCTTTTACAAAGCATAGAAATGCCAAAATGTTGCCCCAAATATATACCAAAATGACCGGCTTTATATTTCGAATGGCAATGACGGTATTTTCTTTCTCCTCTTCGTTACCCTTTGTTGCAGCAATGTCCTGGAGAAGTGGTTTAGAATGGAAACGGAGGCCACCCGCTGCCCGTATACGCCCTAAAAGTTTGCGGAGGGGCACTTCAAATGGAGAGCCCTTTGTGGTAACATAAGGAGACATGACTTTCATGGATGTTACAAGAGTAAAAGTGTTCACCATATCCGTAATTTGTTTCGGGTATAAGTTCATTTCTCTTTCATAATTGTATGTGGTCATGCAAAAACTCGTTTTCCTATGAGTCAGCATTTCGTCTATATTTTGACGAAAATCGTTACCATCAGCGAGCACCCTATCAGCTGTCAAATTATAAAACCCATCCTGAATGAGGCCTTCAAGAGTAGACTGATAGGTCGTCTTCAAGAGCAAGTCGCTCTCCAGCCAGTCCTGCCAGGAGCTGACCTCTCTGGTAAGGGGTGGGTCCGTAATAAAACTTAGGAGCTGACCCTGGTAAGCACCATTAACAACTACGCTGGTTAGCAACCAGCTCCCAACGAGAGGTACCTGCGCTCCTATCTGCCTGTCGCCCATCGGCTGCCCAAGCAGAGGAGACAGCGACAGGAGGGCTATGAGCTGGGCACTCTCACCACGACGCATGAGGTACAGGATGGTGCCTACGACTATCAGCGCTCCCACAAGGACGATCCAAACCCCCACAGTGTACTCGGCAGTTACAGGATACAATTTATCGTATGGCTTGCCTGCCCCCACGGGAACTATACATACTGTTCCGTACATTTTCCAAGTAAACAAGCTGAGTTCAGTGTGTGAACTAACGCTGGCTCCGATCAGAATTCTTTCCCATGCCACTATGTCCAGCTGGCACATGTCAGCTGCCCGTAACGGATGATAAAAGTCGGTAGTAGAATTGATCCTGATGTCAAATCTCAAACTATATGAATCTTTTAGCAACCGTAGTATTTCGAAAGCCTCTGTCCCTTTAACGTCACTGCCCATTACTGTGTCATCGTTTCCGTATCTTTTCATAAAAGAGAAAATCTCCGCTACGAGAGGCTGTCCGTAGGGTGGAGGAGTCCAGGAGACGCAGGGTGGCGGGAAGAGTGAAACGTCTGGCGAGGACCATCCAGGACCGGGAGACCAAACGCCGAGCAGTTCGTATAGAATCTTAGGTTCTTCCCGAAGGTCACAGGGCATCGGCAGTGCAATGACATGTGTGCTGCCTCTCGGGCGTGTCGTTATCATGACGCGGGCAAAGCGGTGGCACCGTCCCGGTCTCCGAACAACCAATGTGTCGGGAATAGCGTCATCAAGGTCCGACAGCTCGCGCAATATCGCGTCGGTCTCCTCTGAGATGTCAGACTCGATTTCATGAGATTCGTCTGGTTTTGCCAAGAATTCGGAGAGATAGCTGTCCGCTTCAACGATGGAATCAAATGATAACCACGAGACCGTGCGCACTCTAAAGGGAGCAGCAGGGAGCAGCTCCAGTGAATTCAGGAAGAGTGCAAGTGATGCGGAAGGCATCATCCCCGCCTGAATAAAGTCCTCAAACTGGAAGGAAACGAGAAAAACAACAAACTAGGGAGAAGAAAGCACAAAATTACTTTTGTGGTAAAATGGACACTCGTTCTTAAAATTATTGTATCTCCATCTCAGAATATATAATATTGTCAAATATAACACTCATTACCATTTGAAACAGTATTTTTGAAGTAATAAAAGAGAGACAACTACAACACTTATCGAGGGGGAGGGAGGGGGGAGGGGGGCACCCCCACAATGGGGCCCGAAGCAGGGCTCGGACCCCCGAACACAGCCCGAGGGCGGCTGGCTCGGTGGCCGGAGGACTTAGACTGAAAACCCTAAAATATTTTCTTAAGAGTTCTCAAAATAATACTATCAAACATGACAAAAGTTCAATGTTAAAAGTAACAGCCAGGTTCCTTATTTTGAATAGTATTACTGTTATGTGTGCAGCTGTTGTGTCTTCTAGGATTACAATGTCCACTTATAAGCTGGGCTAGGGACTTAGCACGAAAATCGTCGAGATTTGTTAAGTGTTCTCACAAATATCCTATAAAACTCAAAAAATACTCCATACTTTGAAGAAACACGAAAATTCCGTTTTAAATGGTAAAACTGTTAAGTTTGTAGGTATTCTGTGGTCTGAGATGAATATGGAATCATGTATGGTGTTACACTGCACTGAGAACAATACGCGTTCTTCCACCACCGAGAAGGTGTAGGTTAGTGGTAAAGAACGAGTAAAAAACAAACAAAAAACAAGTTGGCTATAATTACAAACTAACTTCAAAATATTGCGTTAATGGTCTATGAAGCGAAAGTATGGAATAGGTTGACTTATAACGCCATCCAATGAATTGCGCCCAATTACTTCAGGTGAATATCGGTTCATAGGATATTTACCCAAATTTGGGGCTTCTAACAGCTGTCTCGTGTTCGCCCAATTTGGGCTAAGAACTGGTCCTTTTTAATTCGCACAATTTGAGCTAATGTAACTGTCTTTCAATATTCGGCCAAACACTCACAAATGTGCAACACAATGTTGAACACTTGCATGTGCCCGCCAGTTGCACACTTTATTTTTCAGTGACGTTTTTATCCTAGACGTAACAGTTTCGAGTTGTGGCCAATGTGGTCGAATAAAAAATGAGTTAGGTTGACGTAAGTTGCTCTGAACTGCGTGCCTTTTAGTCTAAGGTATCGAAGTGGTTCGCATTAGCAGATTCCTCGTTAAAAGAGCTTTCAAACGAGCTACCATGTGATAGGGTTCACTTACGAAATGGCCCGCCTCTCGAAAACGTCGGTAATGTAAACCAAGTGATGGTGACGGTCAATTCGAACCCTATCACACAGTAGCTCGTTTCAAAGATTTTTCCACGAGGGATCTGGAAATGCTCTCCATTTTTATAAAAATATTAGCCAAAAACCTAAACGTGATCATCAATGATTGCTGATTTATCAACATACTATGTACAGTGTTGAGTTTTCAGAAGTGTACTTGAATAAGAAGAAAACTAGAATTGACCTGCTTTGAATGCGATTTTCGATGGCATGACCAGAAATACAGGGCATGAAAAACAATGTGAGGGAAGCTGTTTTAGTCGCTTACCTTTAGCACGTTTTCTTCGTCAGAAAAGAGATAAATTGAGGCCACACAAGGAAATTGCCAAAGGAATTTGTTTAACCAATCAGCTTTTCCAAAGACGTACAAACGAGGTGCGTACGTGGCATTAGCATTTTCGTTCAGTTGAAAGTTTGGAGGTATTAGTTCCAAGGCGCACGGGACTTCGGGATGATATTCGATACGGTGTGTCAGAACCTAAAGAAAACAGAAGCCATTTTTATAAGATGTGCTGTTTTCGTCCCATGATTCCCACTCGTAAGGGAAGGGTATCGCAGCTGCTTTTTTCTCAGACACTTTTTTCGGAAGTTAGTTTGTAGTTTTTTCTTTGCTCTAAGACTGGTTTACTAATAACCCACTTGAAAATCGTACAATCAGTTCTGCGTGCAAGACGTCGGAACAGCTGCATTGCTAACGATTTACATGATTGGTTTCGCCCACCGGTGGACAAAATAATCTTTTTGATTTTCTTGTGACTTGGTGACTTGCTAATCACGTTGATCTTTTCCCCGATGCTCTAACGTTAGCCGTTTAGAAAGGTGTACAGAAAAAGACACTATGACGACGTGAGGGTCAAAAGTGACCAAGATACAGACTTTGCTCTAGTGCCTTATGATGAGCGACGGACATTGTCAAATGGCACATCTTGGCCTGCTCATGGAAAACCTAAAGTACTATCAGTGCTACATTCTTGTGCGATATTCCACCTTTCTTTGACGAGTGTCCGTAAATCTTCGGCCATCTTACCGAGACCAAATTGCAGCAAATGTTTCCAGTGGTCAAGCAGAGAATTGCCGCTGATAATAATAGCCTCCTCGTCGACATGTTTGGTGTGACTGACTATGGCACTCTGTAAAATCGTTGCTAGCACAAGGTGTGTAGTGCAACTGAAAGCTGCAAGCAACGTCGCAGAGTATTCGTATTTTAGGCACTTAAGTTGCATATTTCACTTCTGAAAATTTGCCCATTACTTACATAGATATCTGTTGACGGTGCAAAAAAATGTGTGCCTGCGAACTAATTAGTTATGTGTCGCGCACTGCTAACAGGCCAGTTACCTCGCAAAGCTTAGAATGAATTCGTTTGGAAGAGGAGGCCTCTGGTTGTATGCTCGATGATTCATACACTAGGGGCAATGGCGGTGCTTCGAAGGGCCGATGGCCCTCTGCTTTGAATTCCTAAAGGACGTTGGGGGCGGAGTCATTGCAATTTTTGTTAGGATCGAAGTCAGCTTGAAACAAAAGTTACTTTGACTTAGTTTAGTGACAGAAGCAACACGAGCCAATGGGGATGAGTTGCGTGCCAACGACGTGGCTTTGAGCCCAATAATACACGAGGAAAAAAGAACTCACAACTTGTAGAGATCAATTAATTTCGTTCTCACAGGAAACTCATATCGGTTGCGAACCGAGGGTTAAGCACTCTGGGAATCATGTGTACACCGGTCTTGGCATCAACGCCGCACAAAAAGGAAAGGAAACGGCGTACATCACGAACAATGACCAGGAACATCATCATACAACGCAGATAAGACTTAAACTATACAGCAGCCATGAAGCATTAAGAACAAGCGAGAATCATTGGTAACCAAGTATCGTAGGTCCTACGTGTGTACACTGTGAAAAGGAGTGACTCACTTCCTTTAGTAAACCGGCAAAGTCGCGCCCATTATAGTTCGCCCGCAATCCTTAAAGGATCCGTTTCCCCCACCACGCCCGCTTGCGGCCACCTATCTCTATATCACCTTACCGGTACCGGTTGACGCCATCGCACCCCTGGCTTTCACTTTGACTTAACTTTGACAACCGCAGTCAATGTTGAGCGGCTTCCCTAAAACCTACGAAACTGCGGTCACCTTGGACAGCTTACAGATGTAATGTGCGTGCCAATCTCACATCTATACGTCCGCCAGACCCCATCTCGCGTAACAGGCTTCGCACTAGCTCACGACAAAGCACTCACTGGGAAAAAAATCTCTTACCCGGGTAATACAATAATAGCTGTCATTGTACACTAGCGTATCGAGTCATTTCAATTTTTGGCTCTTCGTGTGTCTGGAAATGATGAAACCTTGTCGCATTGAATTGTGCCCTGGTTTGCCACTGGGTAACACTAAATACAACTAGTTTACACAATATGTTGAAATACAATGTATTGAAAACAGTATGGTAGCAGTCATGATACTATATAATACATCACAGAAACGGAAAATAAAGGTCTGAATTACATGCTTATTGGTTTAGAAGAAACAAGAGGATCTCACTATAAGATCACAACACAGTCAACACAATAAGTGTATATATCCTCTACCTTTCAGCCTTTGTGAAATAAAATATCAATCAGTGTTTGTAACAATTTCTGAACAACCGGAATGCACCATCCTTTGGCTAAAAAATTGAATCGCTGCCTTATTGACAAGTCACATGCATCTGTGTAATGAAGACGAAACCCCATCAAGGACTCAATTTCGTTGACATTCATATAATCTTCCCTCCCATTCACGGTGACTGGCAGTCTTGTTCCTGAAAATAATAATCATAGTAATGGTATATACAATCAATTCCTCCTCATATGAAACTGAGATTTAAAATTGTAATCATCTAATTCATTTACAATATTCAGACGTACCTCTCTTCTGATTCCATTTATTTGTAGTGATGGTTCTTGAACATTGGAAATTTGCCGTTCTATGAGGTCTTAGGAAATCTTGAAGATTCAGGCACATCGTGTCTGTGGTGTCGGTGCATAAGTCGTACATAGCAGGTAGGTTGTCCCAGAAGTGTCTCTCTCGCGCCATAGACACAGGTGATGATGGACACAGGGTAATGGGTTCACAGCCCAAAGCACTAACGAAAGGAAAGAGAAAATGGCGACAATCGATTACCGTAAGTTCTATGTGGGTGCAAAAGATCTCTCTCTATATGAAGATGCTGATGTTGTCTTACGTGCAGATGTCTGTCTTTATCTGTTCTTTCATATGGGTTGTATTTTCAAACATCCAGAACAGATGGACTCCAGCCAAAGACATTCTCTTCTGGAGGAAATTCCTGATGTGAACAAAATTGAAGAACAGATGACCACTTGATTTTGGATCTGGAATGAAACAATATAAAGTCTCACTCATATACTCCTGGTGGTGTCTCCTGCAGATACTCTGAGAGTTTTAAAATATCTGCAGGAGACACCAGCACAGTCTTTAGGGAAAATGTACTGGATTAGAAGGATGAATTAAAATGTTATAATTTACCATGTAATCCTCTCCCTCTCCAGTTGACAAGAGATAATTCATCACAGGGACTACCTTCATGATAAAGAATAATAATGCAGTCCCATTAGATACATGTATGTATATAAATGTTATGAAAGATGATTATCAGCAGTTTAAATACCTCCTATGAGCAGGTCAATTCTGCCTAATGCGGAAAGGACCTCATCTGAAATCCCTCTAACATCTCCAAGTTGTACAATCTACCCCATCCAGCTATCAGACTGTAACCTGGAACATTTTCCACGGCAAATGTCGAACTTTAGGGTGTTCCAGGCTGTCTTAAAGGGAAGTGAAAAAGAACAAACTCACTGATTTACCTATCTCCGCCTGTACAGTATGAGAAATGACCGTGGTAATATGGTCCTAGTGTGGTAACCTCTTAAATATAGGGGGGAGCTCAAAACTGATCTGAGAGTTGTTCATACCAGAAAGAATGTAGTGGCACGTTATCAGCTCGGTCAATCAGAGCTATTATACAGAGCCACCGTTTGAAACTTGAAACATGGTCACTATGTGCCTAGCAACAGATGAGCTCAAAGTCTCAGCAGCTGTTTTTGCTCTAATGTATTGTTTACCCTGGGAGTTTTTACCCGCCTACCATTTTTAAGGTCGGTAAAATGGTCAAAAACAGGTTTCGGCGTTGAGCTTCCTCCCGGACCGAAAACGAGGCCTGAACACTGTGCCCTTCGACTAGTTCTGAGGCTGAGGAGCCATCGTGGGATGTTGCTTATGATTCTTGGCTTGTGCCTTCCATGTTGAGGATACCAAACGATTGACTTGCGTAATTGATCTTGTCTTAGCTTGGATAGCTTCGTTCTGCCAAATCTGTTAAACGATGGTCACAGCTTAAGGAACTGTTTCTGGTTGCCAGTAAGCACTGGTTGCCAGGAAGCACTTCAAACGCGCTGAGAGGAACAGAATTCATCACATGATGCGGCCACGTACGGCCTCTTGCCAAATTGTTCCGAAGCTACAGGTAGTAAATGCCAGACTCTGCAGCGCACAAACATACTCCTTAACAGACTCATTCTTTTCTACCTTCTTCAGAGCCTTCCGAGTGGAGCAGTCATGTACGTATGCATCAACGCAGCCTCCTATGTTGTACAAATTGTGTTGGATAAGAATTCTCTCTTCTGGTGAAAGCAACAGGACGAACTGTAGAGCCATCACACGAGGTGTCTCGATTGTATATGTTGTGGTAGAACATTACTCCAGGTGAAAGTACTAAACAGCAGAGCTGTGTTTTTTTTAAGTGTCCATATTCTTCACTACCCATAGACTCATATCAAACACAAATCAAAGTCAGTTTGCTCCCTCCACATTTGTCCTGTTTCCCTCAAGTGCCGTTCAACTACCTTTTGAAAAGCCTGTGGTTCATGAAATAAAGATCGTATCGACCAATATTTGGTCACTGTTCATTTTACAGTAGCCTTTAATTAAGATTCATGTTATCACTGTGCAAAATATCAAGTAAGTTTTCAGAAAAATTTTCATTGACGCAAGCTGGAACATGAAAATTTGTAATCGTAAAGCTACATGCTTCATTGGCGAGTAAAAAATGTAGCCTCGTAAATTCACAACTTTATTCGGGTTTACAAAAACATTGTAAATTTACGACGATATTTTTCACAGTGTATTGACGTGTCGGGATAAAGGAGACTCGATGTAGGTGAAAAACGATTTTTTTTTAACAATAACAACAGGGGTACTGTACATACAATGTAAACAAGTCCCACCAGCAGTGGCACGCCTAGCTGGACACGGACACTGTGGTCGATCTCGTTAGTATACGCTCTCAGAATGGACTTACTGTCCGGGCCCAGCTGGCCAGTCCAGTCGGTCCTTTGGTGGCAGTGGCAGCGCCACCTGGCGGCCTGTTGTCTGCTAAACAGACCCTGACACGGCAGTCCCCCCTTCTTAGATAGCACCCCCGTTACATACGCACATATCTCTATTTTTATTCTGTATGACAAGCGGGCTTCATGAAGCGCCTCTGTACAGTAAGTAGAACAGGATTAGGATGATAGGAGAAACTTAAGAGCAAAATCAGTCTTCCTGTGGCAATTTCTATTGATTGAATTGTATTGAATTGTATAAGTACAACAGGTGACCCTTCGAGTTAAGCGTGTTTTCACTCATTCGGCCAAACAACCTTCTCAATCCAAGGTACGTAGTAGGACACTCTCGTATAAACGCCGGGGAAGCTTAAGCCACATGCCTTGCCGAATGATGTAACTCCAATAACATTGTACATGCAGTACGGTTCATCAGAACTCCGTGAAAAGTTTCTGGTTGACACCTGCAAAGGGCCGCCTGAGTCGCCTTGGCACGTGTCCTTATTGGTGCCACCAGCACACAATTGGATATCCTCTCGGATGCCATGCTGCAGGCGCGACTTCGACGTGTCCTCGTAGTTCCAAGTGCATGTGTCGTCACTAACCAAGCGGAGCGAAACCTTTTGCAGGAACGGGCTGGGATCACCTTCTGCAAGTAAAGAAAGGCACACTAGCTGAGTAGACGCTAACGGATCACGTTATTATACAGTGGTCCATTTAAGGCGGTACTCGCTTGAATCGATGGTCTAGCTGCGTGTTACTAGTTTTTGGTTGTGCAGCTGAGGTAGTCCTAGGTAGCGACCTTGACTTAATTTACTTGTGCTTTCGCTCGGGATGTGACTTACGTCGTTACAAGGTGGCGGTTGAAGACTACAAATTACTTGCACGGTTATTCAGAAAGTAAATAGTTTACAAATTTGTAATTGCACCTAAATATTTGCATATTTTACAAATCTTAATCTACATAAAACTTATCAGGTCTTGTCATTTTAGTAAGTAGAATCTTAGTTTACATTTCAAAGCTCTCATTTTTGTATCCGCGTACTATCATCTGTCATGTATATAATATTTTTTAAGATGCATACGATCCGGCGTCTGCTTTGTGTTTAGTTTAAGGTAGGGGGCCTGAGGTTGTGCCCGGCCCGGCTTGTTTCAAAACCGAAGCTACGCGTGGCGTGGCCGACACGGCTTTGCGCAATACATTAGCGTAATAGTGCTGTTCTTGGGTAAAAGCTGCTGACACCTTACATTGTACTTACATATTGTCGAGGATAGTACTAGGAGAGGTACTGGGGTATGTCTGTATTCCCGGGAAGTCAGGGCTCAATTGTACAGGAGGGCGGTCAACAAGGAGACCGTTGCTATAGGTGACGGGGTGTGCACGCGTACAAGAGTCGGATCGCGGGGTAGGGGAGCGAGGGGTAGCCGGATACAATATCGTATTTACGTCTTAGTGTAAGGTATCATCTGCTAAAAATCAGACATTCATTTTACCTCGTTGATGCTCTTCCAATCACTCACCCCATGCGGTGAGCCCCCAGCCCGTTGCGACGGGTGCCACATCGTTGCCATCGTCACCCGGGCGCAAGGCGCGCTCCGTCTGCAGACAGGCGGGGCGCACTCGGCCGCTGAGGGTAGCGGGCCGCGCGAGCCGCAGCAGCGCAATGTCGTGGTACGTAGAGGGCGGCCGGTACTGAGGATATGCGATGGTCTCCGACACGGCAACGAGCTGCCGCCAGCCGTCGGCCTTTGAATCCGTGCGGTCCAGCTCGCCTAGAAGCACCCAACGCGCCTGCTTGCCGCTAAAACAAGAAGAACAACGTCACCACTCCACGTCCCAAAGCGGGGGTTGAAGTTCTTCGGGACTGATTGAAAGGAAAGGAATGTAAACCACTGCAATCAACCAGGTAGCGAAAAAAAAAACAGGAATAAGCCGAAAACAAGCGACTTTTGCTATAAACAAGCAGGCCCGGCGGCGGCGATGGTCGGGCCTGAGGCCTGACCATTTCTGTCACGCGATTTGCTGAAGAACATGATCTAATGATGTAGCGGGCCTTTGGCCCGCTTAAACCCGTCGTCTTTGAGTTTGCCCCGTAGACTCAAGAAAGGGATGTAACGGTGAAGCACCGCGACTACAACCCACCCTTCTGCTTACAAGACGCTTTTTGGGGTCGGGGGGGGAGGGAGTTCCTTTTCTATTTTGCGGTTTTTAGCCTTTATCTTCAACTTATTGTTCACTACGGCAATTATTAGCTTATTTTCGTCAAAAAAGACCCTCTAGCGCCTAAACGGTTAGAGATAGAGCCAAACGGAAGAAATTTTCGTCAAAACGGCTCTTCTTCGATGAGTTACCCCTTAGGAGAACATTAAAAAATACTTTTTGGGAAAATTTTTGAACCTTGGATACCCCCATTCACATCCCCAGGGGTGGTTGCCAGGATTTGCCGTAGGCGTTTCGTTTTCTAGGAGTGGACCTTAAGATACCCTGAAAATTTCAAGTCTCTAGCACATCTCCTTCTAGTGTAACAGACAGACCGACAGACACACAGACACACAGACACGAGGTCGTTTTCATAAGCCTGCTGGATAGCTTTTTCAAAGCAGAAGGGCGGGCTAAAAACCGTTAGAAAACGAGGGATCTAGCACCAAAAGTCCTTGTTTACCGTAGTGTACCCGCTTAGTGCCCTGCTGATGACTACCTGGCAGTGGTGACACAATGGCCCGCTGTAAGGACGAAGGTGGGTGAGATGAGCGACCCACCGCAGAAGTAGTCAATTCCTCCATCATCGGAATCGTAGCCGACAAGTACCTGCGGCCGGAAAAATATACGATAAAGCATTCCGGTAAAGAAAAAATGCATAAAAATGCGAGGAAGAAGAAAACGGAAATCACTATGCTCTTCCATGGGACTCTCGTTTTCTTGTTCCCAGCATGCCTTTGCATTTCAGCTTTACCGGAATGCTTTATTCACTAAAACTGAAAATTTGTAGCAGTTCAGTTCAGGCTAGGCATCAAGCACACGGTAGAAAAAGATTCTTGTATTTCGAGTCGAGACCTGGTCTTGGATGCATTGGCGTTCTCGAGATAATGGATCCATAAGATCGAAGACTGCACCGGGTCTTAAAATACAAGAAACTTCTTTTACCGTGCACTTTGCAACAAAAAAGTTACTGTTCTTCAGGGAGCACTATTGAAGAGACAGAAAAAATGTTTATTAAACTGTTTTACAAATGCCGTAATCTAAAATGGGTGTTTTTGCCACTTGAAACCATGAAAACATTAATACTGCCAGAAATTTCCTCCCCAGCACTACTGATAATCTGACTAAGTTCCTAAATTTGACGGTTGGTAGGCCAAGCCCCAGTGTGAGCTGGGAGTCGGAGATCTTCTTTGGCCTCAACTAACCAGTCATACCAACTTGCTTTTTACCTTTTATTTATACGAACCTAAGCAACGATTTTTTGCACACATTTCTGCGTTGGTTTGAGCACTTGTGTGCATTCATTTGTGTGAAATCATGTAGTTTTGCTCATAAATTTGTACAAACCAAGATTTAAAATGATCACAGCAGGAAAGTTGCAAATACATTAGCGTGGGCCTCAGAGAAAAAGGCCCAAGAAGCATTGCTATTTTTCTTTGATTTGGGTCACCTTAAGTGAAACATTCAACTGGTATCATAGTAGAAACTTATATGCCAGAAAAGATGAAAAACCAATACTTTTCTTACCATGTGTGGGAATTCCATCGCCTTCGCTTTCACGCCGCCGATAATGAAAGTGTCCCGTGCTGCAGCGCATTGGTCCACACGTTCAGGTGCCGCAAACAGCAAATCCGACGATACCTCCGAGAAAACGTACTTCGCGTACTCTTGGCATTCTAGAAATATAAAAATACAGCCCAAGTTTTCCGAAAAGGAAAAGGAAGAAGGACTTACAGTTAGAGGACCAAAACTTTCAGGATGTCAGTGTTTTTTGACATATAACTGTCAACTAATGTCAAACCCATTAATAATAAGGAAGTGAAAAGAGGATACTATCAGCATACAAAAGAGTGTAATAGCCAACTAAATTCTTGAGATGAAAATGTAATTTGTCTTTATTCATATTAGGATATATAATTTACATTTCTTATTCAAGGGTTCGTTTCGCAGTTTACACGAAGTGTTAACGTTTTTTGTTATACCTTGGAGGTACTCTTAAGCGTAAGAGTATTAATAATTGACAAAATATTTTGAAAAGTGATCGAGTATGGGTTCTGTCGCTAATAGCCTACGTGTACTTACTTCTTTGAGCGACGCTCCTGGGGCGTGACCCTTGGGACCAACCTCCCCTCTTAGACGTGTCGACAGATGGCCCCGAGGACCCGCGCGGGCAGCAGACGACGGCGTGTGGCACAGATTCGTAGCATGTCTCGGGCTCGCGGCCGTGGCGGAGTTCCTCCAAAGCCCAGGGACAATCCGCTTTGGTCGCCAATCGGCAGACGCCGGGGGTTCCGGCGGCAGTTTGGCAGTCACTGCCTGTGTGCTCACGAATGATACATGCGCCTACTTTAAATACTGGAAAATTGAAGAATTAGATCCGCAGCTGTTCGAGCCCCTCCTTCGCCCCGCAGCGGGAAATCTTGTCGGTGGCAGAACCATTTCGGCAAATCTATGAAATTAAGCATACAAGGGAACAAGGAAACGGAACTCACCATGCATCGTAAGTGTAGACAGACGGTCCCACGCGACACATTTCGATCACTAGAGTAATAGGCTTAAATATATGTTACTGATTTTATTAGATTGTCCTCAGTGGCTGTCATTACCAGAAAGTAAAACGTTTCCAGTTTTATATAGGATTGATAAGATTGTATAGGATTTGATAAAGAATGGCGATTAACGTTCCAGTTTGGAAAAGCCAAATGACGTTGCTAAAGATCTATAGTATGCCGCCTTGTTACACACAAATATATAACGGATGCTTTTCGCCTCTCCGTTCCGCCCATGCGCGGAAACCGTCATTACTCCTCATCCTCCTTGGGGCCGAGCAGCCGAACCGAACGAGCGTCCATTAAAAACATAA